GGAGGGCACGTTCTGCATGGAGCACTGGGTGTTGTGCACGAACAATGAATCATGGAACACTTCATCTAGAACTAATGATGTAATGTATGGGGATTAACAGAAGAATAAAAAAAAAAATTGAAAAAAAAAAAAAAAGCATCAACTTTAACCTCGAAGAAAACCATGGATTTGTGTAGGAGCTTCCCACCACAGCCCTGCCTGCCTCCCACAGCACCATGTTTGTGTGGTTGAGCTTTCTGTCCTACAGATTCCCCTTTTGCCCTGTAGACCTCATTTGGCTCTGCATCACTTCAAGTCAGCTGACAAAGAGACCAACTTCTCGATTACTTGGGTGGCATGTGGAATCTCCAGGAGTCTCAGTCTCAAGCAGCCCAGTGCTATTTAAGTGTACACAGAAGAGGAGTTTGAGATTAAACGGTGGTGAAGTTCTACTTCAGTGAGTGAACGATTGTACTCGAAGAGTGATCGATGTGACCATGGAGGGAAATGATCAACGCAGAGGTTCCCAGATTATCTGCATTCACCATGCCCTAGTGTCTCAGCAGTTCTTCAGCAAAGCCCATAGGCCAAGAAAGAACACCAAACAGGTCTAACTGTTAGGAAGGGAGGGTCAAACAATTTAAGAAGTATTTATACCCTAACGACTTAGCAGACATTTGAAACACTAATGCACATAGCTGGAAAGAAATAATACTTTCTTTTATCCTTAAATAACCATAATCACTTGCCAGTGCTATGATATGCGCACCTGTTATGCTTTGTACACCTTCTCAAACCTTGGAGAAAGCGTGAATGCTGTGTCCCTCATTTCCTGTTCCATGTTGATTTTTCACAAGCTATTTGCTTTTTATCACAGCAGCTGTGAAAACTCAGCTTCACAATATGTCATAAAAAGGAATGTAGCAGGGTGCTGGGGTGGCTCAGTTGGTTAAGCGTCTGACTCTTGATTTCGGCTCAGGTCATGATCCCACGGACATTGAAATCGAGGCCCTTGTTGGGGGGTGGTCCATGCTCAATGGGGGGTCTGCTTGAGATTCTCTCTCTCCGTCTCCCTCTGCCCCTCCCCCTTGTGCACTCACTCTCTCTCTCAAATAAATAAATAAAATCTTATAAAAAAGGAATGTGGCATGATCTAATATTGAAACTGTGAGCTACTTCAAGCTAGTATGTTGTACTACTATCTGAGAGATGTTGCTGTATTTTCCTTGAAAATCAATAATTTCCCACTGCAGCACCCCAGAATACTTACAGGGAATCATGGGTTAGGTGGTATGCAGTTCTCAGATGTGTCCAATTTTCTTTTTCCAGCAATCAAAGTTTTGCAGGTGGGGTAGGAGATAACATTTGTTTCACACTGCCAAGTTAATATAATGATTTCACATAAATATATCAACCTTCTCATGAGGTGGTTGGCTTTCATTTTCCCATTTTTACTGATGGAAAGACAAGAACTCAGAATTATTTCCACTGTTTAAATAGGGTAGGGAACAGGAGAAGGTCATGCTCACTAATTTAACTTCAAATCCTACATTGTTTTCTCCATACCATATTTGATCTCTGCTTCTATTAAGCTTAGAGATGAAACGGGAAATCACATTTATGTAGCAGATGAGAATTGTGAGAGCTGTGTCTGCCAATCAGGAGTTTAAAGAGAGAGGAACGTCAAGGTCAGCCCTGGGCTCCAAGTAGCCCTTGCACAAATGTGGAAGGAAGAGCTACAACTTATATCCTTGTCCATGAAAATTGCTTACATTTAGGTACCTGGAGAGTCAGTGATGGAGAGAGTAAAACTTCCAGTGATTTCATGTTAGTATATATATATATATTTATATATAGGTCTAGGTCTAGTAATCTGCTCCAGGGAGATAGTGATTCTGTTCTGCTCTGCTTGTAGCTGTCTGGAAGATCATACTTGGAAGTTATTTGTAAATTCTGAAGCATGCCTGTTAAATCATGGGTGAAGAATCTGGGACTGTTTAGCTAGCAGGCACTGAACTTTGGGAGGAAGGATGTGATAGGTGTCTTTGTAGTTCAGCCTTCCTAATATTTGAAAGAGGAGTTATACTTGTTCTAACCTAACCCAGAGGACAGAATTAGTACTTTGAAGTATGCATAGCTTATCAACTACAGAAAAGTAATAATAATTTTTAGTGGTTGCAGTTGCCCTGGGAGGCAGTAAATTCCCATTATTGAAAATCACTGTGAAAATGATAAAAGAGATAGTAGATCATACAACCTGGGTCCTAACGGCCTTTCAACCTGTAGATTCTGTTTTTCTAACTTGCTAATTTTCATTTCATTGAGCAAAGGCTTTCAGAGTAACTGTGCTTTAAATCCAGTTTGCTGTCTCCCCAAACACAGATAGGTCTCTGTGTTGGTAAAATTAAATGTAAGGTAAATTTTAAGTTTTTTGTTGGAAACTGATGTTTTGAAGGTCAGAGACCATATGAGAGGTCCTAGTTCTACTGAGAAAGCCTTTAAGTGTCTATTCTAGTTTACAAGTACAGTACATATGTGGGTGCAGCCAGTATATCTCTGGGAAACCCGGACAGGCCTTTTACTGTGTGTGTGCACACACATGCGTGTAGTGTATGTGCGCGTGTGTGCTTTAGTCATTCAGGAGTTTACCTGTCAATTTCCCAAAGTGACTATCAGCTCACCAGTTCGGAATTTAAAATAAATCAGTCCTGAGGTACTAGTAGTTTTCTCAAGTCATTGTATTATCTGGTCTTATACTCTGAACAAAGACTTCATTATAATTAACATGGCTGTGCTTTAGACCCCATAGGTTTATATTGGGTCTTCTTCCCAAATGACTTGAGGGCTTATGAAAAATAGCCCACATTCTTTGCTCCCTTGCAGAAACAACCCCCCTTTGGCAAAGATAATCTTATCTTCCGCCTTTGGGCTGTGCTTCTGCACAGTTGAGCTTTGGTAGACCTTCTGTCCCTACGACACCCCCTGCCACCTTCTTAAATCCTTCTGCCGTGGCTGCCCTTCAGACACTGCCTCCATTTCTGAGGTGGAAAGGGGAAGGCTTTCTTCTCTCTCACTCTGGTTCTCTTTCTGCACTTCTCAAGGCCCTGCCAATTTTCTTTCCCTTCTGTGAAAGCAGATTTTACAGAAAATTCCCTTGCCAGACCTAGGTTGTATATGATGAACACTAAAGCAAAAATGGGGTCTGTGCTAGTTTTCTGATTTATTTGGAAGACATTTCGTAAGACCTCTGTAACTAGCTTCCTTGCCTTTATCATTCAGGGGGGCACATGTGCCCCTGAGGAGTTTGCACGTATGGTCCCCACTGGGCAGAGCGATTACAAACAAGCTGTGTTTTAAGTTAGTTTTGACTTGTATATTTCATCTGTGAAGTTGGCAAATACTTGAAAGGCACAAGCTACTGTTTTCTGAAAGCTTCTTTGCACATGAGCATAAAATGTATGTATTGGATTTGGAAATTGTCCAATAACTGCCCTTTCAATGTAGCTAAATGTAGATTACAGCTGTTTCCTCTGGAAAGATGCATATAATCATCATTTCTTTCTTCTCTTACAGGGTGTCTCCTCTGCAGAAGTCTGAGATAGTGGACGTAGTTAAGAAGCGGGTAAAGGCCATCACCCTCGCCATTGGGGATGGTGCCAACGACGTTGGGATGATCCAGACAGCTCACGTGGGTGTAGGAATCAGTGGGAATGAAGGCATGCAGGCGACCAACAATTCGGATTATGCCATCGCGCAGGTCAGAGGCATGGTTGACCAGCTGTCCCGTCCTGTTGACAGAGGTGTCCACTGGGCATGAAGGTCTGATTGGTGCTTGACCTTTAGTCCAGCCCTAAGAACTCTGCCACCCCTTTTGAGGTTGTGTCTAGACAAAAGCACCAGAGTATTCAGATTTCCCTGTGGCCTTGATCTTGTGCAGTTGCAAGGCCCTGTACTGCTGGTTGTTGTGGTTGTTTTTGCTAGCTGTGAGGTTGGCCAAGCTTTCTGTACTCCAGGCAGGGCGTCATTCCTGACAGATAGGTCTCTGATCCTGCTAATGATGGTCTCTCACCCTCAACTCCCACATTTGCTGCATGGGCTTTTCCTTGTGCCGCCCATGCTAAAGAATGGCTGTGCTTATTTTTTTTTTTTTTTTAAAGATTTTATTTATTTATTTGCGAGAGAGAATGAGAGACAGAGAGCACGAGAGGGAGGAGGGTCAGAGGGAGAAGCAGACTCCCTGCCGAGCAGGGAGCCCGATGCGGGACTCGATCCCAGGACTCCAGGATCATGACCTGAGCCGAAGGCAGTCGCTTAACCGAGCCACCCAGGCGCCCATGGCTGTGCTTATTACATCTCTTCTTTACCATCCTGACCCCAGAATCTGTCCTCTTTTCAGAAGGTGCTAGAACACTCTCTCCTCAGGCATTCGAGGTCAGGGGAAAGCAGTGGTTTACAACTGCTACTCTCTCTGTAGCCATAACCAGAGTGCGGGAGCCATAACCTACGGTCAGTAGCAAACAGCCTCCTGCTATTAGGCCAAGTTCAGCCCATTCCTCTCTGGATCAGATGTTGCATGCAGGAGTTCCTGATGCACTTTGTAGTTACTGAACAGATGGCCTGAGGATGAAAGAATCGCCGACTCCTCAATGATAGATAGCCGAAAAGTGAAGGAAAATAGCTAACCTCCTGACCTTAGGTGACATATCTAGAGCATTTGGCCTGCTTGATCATCCAGAAGATCTAGACCTCATAATGGGCACCGATCGTTTCCTTCTGTCTACAGATTGCAGTATGTCATGATAAAATGCCTGCTCATTTGGTGGTTAGCTAGGGTTTCCTCATGTCCTTCCAGTGTTTAGTCATTTGAAGAATGTGTTAACCTTAATCACATGAACACAGGTAATAATGGCTTTTTATCCCTTCAAGCTGAGATCAGGGGCTGCGTAAGAACTGTGAAAGAGCTTCCAACAACCCCAGGGCTGCAGGCTGGTCCTGTGCAGCTTTGGGGTCCACCTCCCCAGAGGGGCTTCTGCATTAGATCACCTCTCCGATTCCCTCCCAGCCGGTGGTTCTGCAAACACAGGGAGGAATTACAAAATCCTCATGGCTCCAGAAAGTACATGAAATCAATCTTGTTTCTCTGTTGATTTCAACTAAATCCTCAAGATAAATGCTAAAGTAGGTAGGGGAAGGAATTCTGATTGTACAGGTGGGAACACTGGGGCTCCTTCACATTGGGTGACCGGCCTCAGGTCTGAGCATCCAGGGTCAGAGAACACCAGACCTGTACGTGACCTTGGGGACCAGCTCCACACACCTGCCCATTCACTTTCCTGAGTCAACCACTCCGAGGCCTGTGGGACTCTTGCTTCCTGTAGTCTGTCAGCAGCTGTAGATGTTATACACCCCAGCATTATTAAATACTTGAGTTATAGCATCATGTGGCTGGAAGGGATCTTTAGAGGTTTCCTAGGAGTTCCAGGCAAATATTTGTCTGTCTTTTTCTTTAAAATGTCTGGGGAAGGGAGATTCCATGACCTGCTTTATTAAAACTGCATACTAATAGGCTGTGGAATCTGGAGCAATTGCTCTCTTCAAATTAAAAGCATCAAAGAAGCGTAGGGAGGAGGAGAGTTAGAGTTAGAGTTAGAGTTAGGGGTTTTCTTGCCCCACCGCTGTAATAGTGTTCACTGCCAGAGGAAGTGACGAATGGCCGCATGTGTCTGTGGGTCTTCATTTCTCCTGTCCGTGGTCCTGCCCACGACTGGGGAGAGGTCCTGTTGTTTCAGGGGAGCATTGCTCTTTGCCTTACACCTTCTCTACCCAACTTTAGTTAGAAGCAAGAAAGGCCACAATTTTATGTATTCCCTTTGCCCCCAGTGAAATGATAAATGTCTCTGGTTGAAGTCAGTATCTTGGGCTTTTTCTCTTTATTGCATGTGGATGAATACATTTTTGCTTGGGTTTTTTTTTTTTTTTTTTTTTTAAGATTTT